AGTTTCATTTATAGACACAGCAAGTCATATAAGATCTTCAATGCACAGCCTGCTTAGCTTAGGCCTTCTATGAGCACGAATGCTGTTTTATTGCTTCTGAGCAAATGAAGAGAAATTAAGCCCACATATGCTGGAAAGCTTCTTTCCCAGTGAGAGAAAGTTGGTTTATGCAAAGTTAAGAGCAAAGCTTACCCATATGAAGCATGTTTCTAACTTATGAAATTAAATCTTATTTGCAATGCAGAAAGAGTCTTTTTAATGTGTTACAAGTTTTAGACAAACCAAGTCATATAAGATCTTCAATGGACAGCCTGCTTAGTTTAGGGCTTCTATGAGCACAAATGCTGTTTTAGTGCTTCTGAGCAAATGAAGAGAAATTAAGCCCACATATGCTGGAAAGCTTCTTTCCCAGTGAGAGAAATTTGGTTAATGCAATGATAAGAGCAAAGCTTGCCCACATACAGGATGTTCCTAACTTGTGAAATTATATCTTATTTGCAATGCAAAAAGAGCCTTTTCAGTGTGTTACAAGTTATAGACACAGCAAGTCATGTTAGAGCTTCAGTGCACAGCCTGCTAAGTTTATCTATTAGATGCTGCGATACATCCTTGTTCATTCCTCTGTCCTTATTTTCTTTCCTTGTTTCCTGGTTAATTAAAATTAAACACTAAATGTGCCTAATAAACTTTTTCTAGAGAGTAGATTTTTTTATGTACGACAAAAAAGTATGTCATACCGACACAAACAGGTGCTTGCAAAATGTTAGAATCCTTCTAAAATTATGCAGAGACATGTAACGCTAAGTCAGCAGATGGAGCCTTCTCCCGAATACTGACCGGGATCTGCTCTCCCTACTGCTTCTAGGTTCACTTCCTGTCTGGTTACTATTTAGAAGCCACATCCACACTTTGCGAAGTATTGCCAGTATCACTGCCTTACCGAGCGTTTGTGATTCTGCCTGTTCACTTCGATTGCCTGGATTATCCCATTCTGTTTTGGTTACCTGTGTAGCATTTGGACCAATCAGACACACAATTTTTCATTAGATTTAACAAATCAATTATTCATTAGTTTAACAAATAATCACAGACCCCTCACCCAATAAACATACTGGGTGCCAGGATGTCTGTGAAGGACAGCAGGCCCCTGGTTACCATGGCAACCAGGACCCCTCAGCCAGATCAGATAAACTTTTACGACCTAAAAGTATGTAGAGAGAATCTTCCTCCTACTCAGTTCTCTCTGAAACAGACACATACTGCTATAAGAAATGACTTACATTAATTTATAGACAAATTTTTCTATGACTTTCCTATCATGTATATCCCCAGGTCTTTGTATGATTGTATGATTACTACCTCCTTGTATATGGTCTTGTGTATTGTATACTGTTTTAATGCATGCTTATGACAGATCACTAGTTAATGTAAACTCACCTATACCATGTTTGGCCTCTATGAATTCGTCTTCGGGTGATCTAATTGAGAGTGTATATAATATGTGGATACCTATGCAACATATTAGTGTTCTAAGAATCTTCAATAGTTTGCATATCAACATCCAATCCAGTTCCATATGCAAATTACCATGCTAGAGATCAAGAGTCGTAAAATTTCCCTCCAAAGGTAACATTCCTCATTGGCTCACTCAAATCCCAGAGGTGACCTCGATAGAAGATAAAGGCCTCATATCAGTGACCCACCTTCAGTCTGCGGTCCTGTTAGTTTCTGAGAAGATAAGGATGTGAGCTAGAAACTCTTCTGCAACCCTTAAGTCTGCGCCAGGCTTCGGCCTAGTCTTTCCACTTCAAGATCCTTTGACTCAGACTGGTTCTTTTCCATCAACCAACTTCAGCAAAGACAGTACATCTGAAACTGCTGAGGCTGGGAAGGTTTTTGACTATATTACCGACCAGGTACATTGTTCTCAGCGTAGTGTCATTCTTAAAAAGAAAACAAAAAAAAACTTTAAATATAGTAAGTATGTCTGAAAAAGCACAATTTAAATATATTTCTTTTTCACCTGGGTTGGGCTGCAGGGTGATATGGCTGTGCTTTCTACTGCTGCTCAAAAACCGTCTACATATGGATTGTACTACAGTATTCCCTGTCCTCATTACAAGACAATGTTCTTCCACAACTAATGAACTGCACAACAAAAATTTGCAGGCCTCTAAATCTATTTAAATTTATATGTGATCCTAATTTGGTATCAATCTAGTATCACCTCATTGACATGCGCCAGTGGGTGGGCCAAAGAGGGAGTGATGAAGAAGTAGGCAAATGATGTGTTTCTGAGAAGGCAGTCTTGCACTGATGTAATTAACATGATAAAGACAAGGATGTATAAAGTCATTTTGTCAGCTTGGTTTCAATAAAAGCTGCCTTTATACTAACAAGAACGTTGAATTTTGAAATGTACAGTATACCTTTATAGTGCAATGACCTTTTAAATGTCAAATATCAAGGAAATTTGGTTTTTTAATTCATGACCCCTCTACTGTTGTCTGGTTAAAGATTAAAATATGATTTGATTATATGCAACTCTTCAGAGTTTTTAGTAGAGTTAGCCTCAGACACTCCTCTCCTAAAACACAGGACTTAGATTCTATCAGAAGTAGTAAGTGTGAATGTGGGCTATAGACCTTATGTAGCTCCACCCCATTTCAGCACTGCACTCGCTGTCTTCTGTCTTCCGTTTTGTATTTCCACATCGTAAATGTAAGGTTGTACAAATGTATGAATGAATTGGTCGTTTTAAAACCTTCCCGGTCAGCTGACATTTGACATCTGCTTCAAACATTTCAATATACTTTGGTTAACTGTACAATAAGTAAATCCACTTCACCAACTAATTACTCTTCAACAGCGAAGTTATAGAGCTCCCGCAATAACAAATTTTCAAAGACAAAATTCTAAAGATAGCTGCGCCTCTTTTTCTGCCGCATAAGGTCTATACAAAGGTGTAAATCATAGATGGCTTTAACAAACAAAGAGTGTACAGAAACAGAAAGGAGATTCTTGTTTCTTCATATTAAATCATTGCATAAAAAGTAGTTTAAAAAAGGTTTGGCTACAAAGGTTTGGTTAAAGGGAGAAAACCATAGATATACAGCCCTTGTAGGGATCCTCCAAACTTTACACTTTCATCCCATCCCATTTGTATATGACTTACTTTCTTCAGATGAAAATGCAAATAAAAATTTTCAGAAAAAATACAATAAAAAATCCATCGCACTGCATGCCATGCAAAGTGTACGGGACGTCCAAAGATGATGCTACATGAAGTGAACGTGGTAACCTATATGACTCCAGTTGATGAATCAATGTCTTCAACTTCTTAAGTGAAATGATAGGTGTGTGTAAGCAAAATACTTGCGTTATATGGACTAAAAATCTTTGTGTTTATATGAAGAAACAAAGTCATATACAACTGGAACATTAAGGTGAGTAAGCAATAAGAGAATTTTCATTTTTGGGTGAACTATCCCTTTAAAGAGCAAGATGTGATGCAGAGGCCAGAAACATGCAGACAGAATACACAATCATGTGTTGCACTAATGATGAGTACAGCATTGAAAAGGCCACTTTTTGTGTAGTTTATTCAATGTCCCTGTCAGTAACATGCAGTAAAATGCAAAAATGTATTAGTATTTTTCAAGTTGAAATAAAATTGTGTGGTAAAAAGTACTGTTTTTTTCTTCAGATAACATTCAGAAATGTACTAGTCAGTTTAAATTGTACTTGAGTACAAATCCCAACTGTACTTAAGTACAGTAATCAAGTAAAACTACTCAAGTATTTTACACCCCTGCAAAATGTATAAATATATATTTTTATTTATTTATTTAAAGGATGTTAGTGTGTTTAAATGGGATTGCAATGTTTGAAAAATCGTTTGCAAAATAATGTATTTTGGATTACAACATTTTTAAACGTTACCATTGTGGTGTACAGTATGTTTGTTGGGGTGAACTACTGGGTAATTGATATTAATCAAAATCTGGTGTAAGTTGTATTGTTACATGTCCTAAAGCTTGTGTTTAAAGAGAGTTTGTGATTAGGTAGCAGTTTGGTGCTCTATGATCAAAGATCATACTTTGCCTAAAACTTTGAAAACCACAGGTCTTTAGCATAACCTAAAATGTTTGTACCAAAACAAATTTCTCAATGTGTGCAAAATTTTTTTTAAATTAAGTTCATCATCACATAACTCTGACCTCCTGGTGTTGTGTCATGTGCATGTGTACGTAGACACATTTATTAAGCTATAATGATCGGGGTGTGTAGAAAGACTGGGTGAGAGAAGTCAAATGTGTGCAACACACTGGAGCAGGGACAGAAGAGCATACCAACAGCTGAATAGTCACAATGTATAACAACCGGTTCCAGTGCTGTGAAGAGCATAATGCAGAATTAGAGCATAAAATGCTTTAAGTATTTAGCCTACTTCAAGCATGTTCATAATCATACAGCCATGACACAGACGCATTCTGCAGCAGCCCTCATCACAAAAAAAACCAAATTACATCAAACTCAGAGGGAATACAAACACTGAATTCTATGTAAACGATGTAAATAGTAAAACAACTGTCCCCACACTTTAGGTAGATCTTGAAAATGATTAAACACGTCTCTTTTACTCAAACTGCCACTCACAAGAATGAGTTTTGACACCTTTAGGTCACTAGTGGTAAAAGTCTATGCTCATAGCATTACTGTGGTTAAGAGTAACAGTTGTACATTTGCAGCAATACTAAAAAGCTCATTCTGGATAAGTACAATCTAATGATTTTTTCGCTGTCAATGGCATTGGTTATGATAAAGAGTAATGCAGTTAATTGGCCACCTGATTATGGCACTAACATGCTCCTACACATACTTGGTGAGTCTGCAAACATCTACATCATCAATGCTTTTCTTCCTGAGCACTCTAGTGATTTGCATAATGTACATGCAGTCCATGTCTTCTGAATTTACAGTTGTGGCTGCTGAGACTCTTACTCTGCACAACTGGAGTCAGTGTTGGTGTTGTTGGTCCAGGTTTGAGATAATACAGCTCTGGATGATTCTGTGAATTCAACTGGGTCCTCATATACAGGTGGTTCTCTCTCAGACTGAACTGCAGTGTCTGGAGGGTAAGGAGGAGGTGGTAGATCAAACCATGCGGGTCGGCTGTGAAAAAAGTAAAAAGGATAAGCTTCAAAGCATTTAGTTTATTAAAATCACTGAACTATATAAAAAAATCAATAAGACTATCCAAACACCTTCCTCAGTTGTAAAACAGGAAGTAACTCTGGCAAATATATCCACGAAAGTCACATGATCAACAGACCTGTGACTACTGGTGACTACTGGTTTAAATGTGTAATATGTTTGCCAAAGTAGATGGTATTGCTCGCTGCTCATGGTGGTGTCCCTCTTCCTCTCAGGGTGGAGCACCCAGATCTCTCCATGCAGCATCGTGGAATTGTTTCTAGCACAGCATTATAAGGCGTGAGACAGATGATGTCTCAATCCCCCTCCTCTATTCAATGAGGGACGCTCCAATTTCACCTGAATCGCTTCCTTTACTTCTCTTTCAAACCACCTGTCTTCTCTGTCCAGAATTCTCACCTCATGATGGTGAAAGGTGTGATTCTTTTGTTGTAGATGCCTGAAGACTACTGAATCCTGCCCAGAAGAGTTTGCACGTCTATGCTGAGCCATGCGTTGATAAAGTGGCTTTTTTGTTTCTCCTATATATAAGTCTTCACACTCCTCACTGCACTTAACAGCATATACTGCACTTAACAGCATATACAACATATACAACTCTTTGGTGTCTGGACAGAAAAGACAGGTGGTTTGAAAGAGGCGTAAAGGAAGTGATTCAGGTGAAATTGGAGCGCCCCTCATTGAATTGAGGAGGGGGATTGAGATATCATCTGTCTCATGCCTATAATGCTGTGCTAGAAACAATGCCACTACGCTGCATGGAGAGATCTGGGTGCTCCAACCTGAGAGGAAGAGGGACACCACCATGAGCAGCGAGCAATACCATCTACTTTGGCAAACATATTACACGTTTAAACCAGTAGTCACCAGTAGTCACAGGTCTGTTAATCATGTGACTTTCGTGGATATATTTGCCAGAGTTACTTCCTGTTTTACAACTGAGGAAGGTGTTTGGATAGACACCGAAACGTCTTGTTGATTTTTTTATATAGCCCAGTGATTTTAATAAACTAATTTTTTTATCTTCTTTATTACCTGGATGATTTAGTTATGAATTTACACAGACTTCAAAACATTAGATATTTGATTATGGTTACAGGACAGTGCAAGTTAATAGTAATCTGGTGAAAGCAGTGGGCTGATGGGCCTGAGACATTTACAAATTTAGAAAAAAATTGTATATCTATCCATCTGTCTGTCTGTACAGAGGCTACAGACGCTGTCTTCATTAGTTTGTAGTCTTAACAGTTGTGTATAATTAATTATTAGACAGAATTGTTAAACAAAGAAAGTAAACAGTGAATGAAAAAGTATTATAGTGTTTGCCTTTATTTTATTAGCAACAGAAAGGCAAATGCAATAATACATTCTCATATAGCTCATCCAGCTCATGTCCAGTTAGCAGACTTACCACAGTGTAGAGTACATTGCTGGTTAGAGTGTTCATTGTGTTTACTTTTTGCTACCTTTTTATTCATGCTTTTAACAATTTCTTTAAAAGTACTATATTAATTACATAATATAATTACAGAATCTGTATGTGAGAGTTTGTTATATAAATCTGTAACACTTTATAATAAACATGAACAAACATTAACAAACATTATATAATGTTTAACAGATTATTAGTTGATATATATTCACATAGCTAGAACTATGAGATAATGTTCTTGTTAATGTTTACTAATGAACTAAACATTACCTAATGATTAACATATGATTATTTAATGTAAATTGAAACGCTTACAAATGTCAGTAAACTTTCAGTTCATATGATCTTCATTTGTCAGTCTTTTAATTATTTGTTCATGTTTTTGCAGTACCCTATCAAAAGTGGAAACTATTCATCATTTGCAAATGTTTATAAATGTTTACTAATCATTAATACCTTTATGAACAGTCATCTCAATGGCAAAAAGTGTCCCGAAAGACCTGAATTTACCCTATTCACACATCTTTACTAATCATTTATTAATAATTTGTTCATGTTTTTGCAGTAGCCAATCTGTTGAAACTATTCATCATTTGTAAATGTTTATAAATGTTTACTAATCATTTAGTATCTTAATGGGTATTGGACTTTTAGCTAATGTAACAAGGTTTGTGTAAAGGGTGGCTGGTTAAGTTTAGCTAAATGCCTGCTAAAGACATAACAGATTGTAATTTTGGTGCAAAAAAAAAAAGAAGTTTTTATTGCCCCAACACTCACATTAGTATACTACTCTTCAGTATGTCATTAAACAGGATATTCATTGAATCATAAATAAACAGGAGAAAACAAATCATTTTTTAAAAGAAAATACTTGTTCATTTATCAAACTATATAATACAAACAGATTGAACCGTGTTCCCTTATAACAGAGGTTCTCAACCTTTTGGAACTAAAGCCCCCCCAAGCCTCCCCTATCATGTGGCATATAATAAAGCATTATTTTACGTGTAAAACATGTTGCATTTAATTGGTTCGTTGCATTCTACAAGCATTCGCATACTATCCGCACTAAATAATATTCAATACTATTTAGGGCGGATATTATGCAAATATCCGCAGGGCGCGTCTGCGTCTCGTTACCTATGGCATCGTTAACTCAATCAGTGGGATACCTGTGCTTGCTTCTTTTTACAAAGAAGAGCAATTCGCAGTTCAATGTTGGAGAGCGCAAGCCTCAGGTCATCCTCCACCTGGAGCCGATTTCGGTACTTTGTTTTCAAAGCCGTCAATTTTGAAAACCCGGCCTCGCACAGATAAGTTGAGGCGAACGGAAGAAGTAATTTTATGGCGGCGTCAGATAACTGAGGATATTCAGGCATCACGCTCAACCAAAATGACGGCAGAGAGGAAGAGCTGTAGCGGTGTCACAATCTAGTGTCGCTCTTTAATTCGACTAACTGCTTCCCCATGTCAGCTGGAAAGTCTTTTCCTGGGCAACTGAAGGGACCTCTTACCCAAGCAAATGAACTGAAATCCTCAGTGAAATAACGGCCGAATTGTTGTTTTAGTCCCTCAACATGTTGCGCGACTGTGTTAATCAAAGGAGAGATATTTATCCATGTCTCTGGCACACAGTCGGCGAAGTTGGGAAACATGTCAACATTTTTATTAATCAGCCGATCACGCCAAAGATCCAGTTTGCCAACGAATGCACTGACTTTGTCTGAAAGGAGCAATATGTTGGCATCTCTCCTGGCATCGATTTGTTCAGCGAATTCAACCTGTCGAAAATGTCTACAAGGTACGACAACTGCGCTAACCACAGGGGTCATCCAGGTACCGCGCAAGGTCGGACTTCACATTAACAAGAAATGTCTTCACCTCTGAACGCAATTCGTAGAGGCGATGTAAAACCCGACCTCTGGAGAGCCAGCGAACCTCAGTGTGAAAAAGGAGCTGCTCGTGTTCGGCTCCCATTTCCTGAAAAAGCAAGGAAAACAAGCATGCATTTAATGGCCGTGCTTTAATGAAACTGACAATTTGCACTGCCTGCTTTAAAACGGCCTCAAGAGACTCAAGGCATTTGTTTTGATGCGAGAGATTCACGATTAATCATACAGTGGGTCCACTTGGCTAAAGGGGCTAAATTCTGGACTCGAGTGACAAGACTGCTAATCCTCACATGACGTTAGCTAGCAATTGCTCTTTAACGTTGCTTGCCATGTCAGATATGCGGCGGATAACGGTGTCGTTAGAAAGGGGATGTCACTAATCTGCTGAGCGAAATTATCTCCAAACATGGCCTGACAAATATCTTTGGCAGCAGGTAAGATTAGCGCCTCGGCAATTGTTTGAGGTTTTCCTACTTTAGCAACTCGTTTGGAGACGTAGTAGGACGCTTCTAGACACCTGTTGGACACTGATGTGTGTTTGCCGATGTTGTGTTTCTGCTGTTCAAAGCCAGATAACTTTGATTTGAAAAAATCTAAGGATTTGTCTTTGAGTGTCGGGTGTTTCGTTTCTAAATGGCGCTTCAGCTTGCATGGCTTCATGCTGTCATTTGCCAGCAGATCTGCGCATATGACACACTGGGGCAGCGGCTCAGCATCTGTCCCAGCCACCGTAAAGCCAAACTGAAGATACATAATGTCGTACTTTCGTGTTTTACACTTCTTAGGGGTAGGAGCTGACGACGCATCGTTGTCACAACTTCTTTTCGTACGTGTGATGAACTTATCCATAAACTTCCCAAAATCCGTTCCGCTGCTAGTCACTGACGCTCTGAAACGTGTCTGCACTGACAGCTGGATAAAAGGCAGGCTAAGCGCCGCCTCTCCCCATCACCAAAAAAAAAAAAAAGAAGCAGAGGAAGAGGAACGGGGGGTTTTTTTTTTTTTTTCAAGCAGACCAGGGTTTTTTTCCAAGCCGAGCGGGGTTTTTCCATTTTTCCATTTGTGTATATTCTACTTAAAACGCAATAAAATGCAAAAAATACGATTACCCAACTAATGCTTTGTCTCTGTTTTTTCTTGAAAACCATTTGCGCCCCCCTTCCGATCTCTCCGGCGCACCCCCCCTGTTGAGAACCACTGCCTTATAATAATCAAATTGACCCCTGAACACTTTTGACCCTTTAACCAAACTTTAAACCTACCCATACAACCAAACCGGTCCCTAACCTTACCCGTATCACACCTCAGTAGCAGCAAAAGTGTTGTGCATTAACACAAGCTTTTAATCATTTTATAACATCTGTTAAAATCATCTGTAGATTTTCAATAAGTGCTTGATCGGAATTGAAAGTTTAATGACATTTGTTAGCATTTTAACTTACATGAAATTATGATTTGTTTGAACATTATCTAATGTTTAATAAGTTTACTAGCAAACATTAACAAGCACATTATCTCACGTTTCTAACTCTTTCAATATATATTAACTAATGATCCAATAAGCATTATATAATGTTTGTTAATGATTTATTAATGGAAGTTATTATAAAGTGTTACCTATAAATCTGTTTATTTCTAATTTAGTAAATATCATGTGAAATAAACATACATTTCATTGCAGCATGTGTTATTTACTAACTTTAAATTAAATAGTGATATCCTATATTTCAGCTTTATATTGGCCATTGGCCACCCTGCTCTGTAAGATATTGGCATTGGCCATCAAAAAAAAAAAAAATCCACATACTAAGACCACTAGTCTTAGCATTTGTATTTGTAAGCATACCCGACATCCAGTACAGCCTGCGAGTATGATGGTGGCAAGTCTATCGTAGTTCTAGGATATTGTGAAAGAGAGAGCAACTGGAGACTTTGTACTGAGCTGAATGGTTCTGATGAGGATGAACACTGGAGTGAAAGGTCATGGTCTCCAGGATGGACATGTCCTCTGTCCAGTATGACAAGCCGGGACAGTAGGAGTGGTTGGTGACAGGCACCTCCGTAGACCCCCTGTGGCAGCAAGACACTTCGCTTTCTCTGATGGTGCAGGACACGGGCCAGCAATGCCACAACCAGGACAAAGGTGATGGCACTGCCAATAACTGCATATGTGATACTGGGGTAATAGCATAGTCTATAGTCCAGTGTCACAAAGTCCTGTCCAGGGGATTCTGGGAGGAATAGGGAACAATATTAGGTTGTTTAGATAATACTGACATAGATAACTGGGTTAATTATTTTTCTCACCCAAAGGTTTTAATATGACATAAAATGTGGAAAAAAATTGACATTATTTTAATTAGAATTAATTTTATATATATATATATATATATATAAGCTGCACCCACTGTAAATACAAACTAAACAGTAAAGTGATATACACTGCCAGGCCAAAAACAAATAAAGGGTCACCATATGGATTTAAATAAGCAAATACTTAAAATTTTAGGATCTAATAATTATTTAAGTGATTAATGTGTTTCTGCAGCCTGATCTTATTGTTTATACGTAGGTATTAGTATGTATCTTTTACAAGTACAAAACGTACATTTTTGTACATTTTTATTGATGCTGAAACGTACTATTTGAACGTATTTCAAAGTATAAAATGCAAAAATTTCAATGTATTTTTAGCTAAAAAACTTAAAATATTTACAAATAATTTATATCATTAAGATAATTGTATCAATGCATTTTTATAATTTTATCGATAAGCGATTTAGATTTTTAGACCTCTTAACCTACCCCTAAACCTACACCTAACCATTTTATAGCAGATATAAAACGATATAAAAAGTAAATAACCGAAATATGCAGGGAAATTAAATTTTTTTGAACAATATAGCATTAAAAAGATCCCACTCCCACCTCTAAACCTAACCATGACAACTTCTTAAAAATTTGTAACGTTACAGTATAAATAAAAACCTGACAGACAAATAAATGCAATCACAATAATTTATTTCTTGCAAAAATGTCAAAAGCAGTACCAATAGTTCAAATGACGATGCGTCGCAGTCGCAGTCATTTCCAACGGGATACAAGTTTTGTGTGAAGTGCACAGCAGAATTTAAGTTGGACTCAGAGGAAGACCGCGAGGGTTTAGGGTGCAATTTGGGACAGGGCCAATGAAGGTTCGATTTTCCTGCCGTAAAACATGTCATAAAGCTTTTCCAAATCGCACCCAGAGGTCTTCCTCTGAGTCCACACTTTCATGATGTAATGGCGCTTTGATTTTCGGGTAGAAGTCTGCTGCGGAGCTCGCCTCAGTGTGGGCTCGACAGAAGTGCGCATCTAGGGTGCATAGTGGCCGCAAAGGGGGCGCTCGCGAGCACCCTTCTGAAAGCTAAAATGATGAATGGGACACCCTACATTCTCTTGGACTGTTAAGACGCGTGCACGTGGCTGCCATTGTAAGTCCGCAAGACTGCAAGTGCACATGAAGTGTGCCATTTGGGACAGGGCCAGCTTTAGTATTGATGCTTACAGTCGCTCCTCAGGATGGAGATGAAGATCGCTTAATAAAGGCTTGGGATTAGGACTGTTCCTCGTATTCGTATGGATTCCGAAGATTTGGATTGATTACACACATTGATAGCACACAAATAAAATTGATCCTTTTGTAATTATGTTGTGTTTTTTGGTGTATTTTATGGTTCTGTTGTCAGTCACAGCATGTTGGAGAAAATGCCTTTTGTGACCCATGGCAAACAAAATAAATATCATATAATAAGTAATGGTTAAACGACTGCAGAAATGTTATTCATTTTAAGGGTTTAAAGTATAGCATTGTTTATCATTATGTATTCTTCAAAACAAGTTGGCAGCAGAAATCACACAGAACAGAACAAAATGTTATTGTCAACTGCTAAGGTGAGCGAGGAACGAGGAACGTGGAGACGAGGGATACTCACAATCAATGGTTTTTAATGAACACACCAAGGGGAACACAGAGCTGGCTGGAGACACGTAGCACAAAGACGTTTAACACTCGACGCTAGACATGGGAACACACGGGCTAAAGTACTTGACTAAACGAGGAAATGACGACACACACCTGGACTCAATGAAACACAATGGGAACAGGAACAGGAAGGAAACCAAATATGGGCATGTAACACACGAGAGAAAACAGGTCATGGGGAGCAAAACACAACAGACAGTCCATCTTCCTGATATATCGCCCCCCTCCTGGAAGGCCGAGGAAACAACAGAAGGACGGACAGGTGGGAACTTGTGAGGAGGCTCAGGAGGAGGCCGGACACCCGGGAGAGGGCCAGCAGACAGAGTCCAGGGCGGATCAGGCAGAGGGAGGAGCCAAGGAGGAAACAGGAGGAGCCAGGGCAGATCAGACGGAGGGAGGAGCCAGGGAGATGACAGGAGGGACTTGGAGCATGCGGCGCCAGGTGGGACCCAGGCCACAGCCATAATGGCGACCCACGGTAGAGCTGATGGAGGGAGGAGCCATGGAGGAGGAAGGGCTGACGACTCCAGAGGGCCAACCAACGGCGGCGGAGCAGGTGACGGAGGAGCCCGAGGCGGAGACGGAGAGCTGACGGGCGGAACTCCTCTCCATGCTCTCACTGTCCACGGCTTTCTCCGTCGTGGTGGTCATTGTAGCCGGCTCTCGCACCTCGTCTGATGATCCGTGAGGCTCTGGCTCCATGGCAATCCTCAGCTCTGTCGCACTCCAAGGCGATGGCTCGTTGGTCGCAACGGGCTCGGGCTCTCCGTCAACGGTGGGCTCTGGCTTGCACTCCGCGCAGCGGGGAGATGGTGGGCTGGGCACTGGTTCTGGCTGTGTTCTGGATCGAAGGTAGACACTCTCTATGGACACTGGATGATTGCCTCTCTCCAGCACAGTCCGGTGGTGTCTGGGAGGTCGACGGGGCGGTAGTAGTTGGCCCCGATCCAGAACAGTGAGTTCAGCACAGCATCATCGAACGCCGTTAAAACGGCGAGCTGGCTGAACTCCACAGCATACTCCAAGAGTGAAAGGTCCTTGCGGGCAAGGGAGGTAAACTTTGCTGTGAGGGAATCCATGAGGAACATGGGGAAAACAGAAAACAAACACTGTAAAAACACAGAAACTAAAACGGAGGGGAAACACGCAGTTAAACTGTTTGTCGGTCGAGTGTTCTGTCACAACTGCTATTGTGAGGAGCGAGGAATGAGGAACGAGGAGATGAGGGATACTCACAATCAATGGTTTTTAATGAACACACCAAGGGGAACACAGAGCTGTCTGGAGACACACGTAGCTCAAAGACGTTTAACACTCGACGCTAGACATGGGAACACGCAGTGCTAAAGTACTTGACTAAACGTGGGGATGACGAGGACTCAATGAAACACCTGGACTCAATGAAACACAATAGGAACAGGAACAGGAAGGAAACCAAATATGGGCATGTCACACACGAGGGAAAACTAGGTCATGGGGAGCAAAACACAACAGACAGTCCATCTTCCTGACAGTTATCATTTCATATTAAGTAAATGAGTAAACTTCATTTAATAATGCAATTGAAAACAATGTAATTGATATGACAACTGAATTCAAAGCAACATAAAATGTTAATGCTGCGATTTCCATATTCATAAGGATTCATTTGTAAGACTGTATACTTACGTTCAAACATAAATAATTTACATTTTAGGTGTCATTAATTCTCATGAGATCACATTGGTTTCTGGCTTGTTGAATGTTTGGCAACAATTATTTTAACCCTAACTGATGCAGTGCATAGCTTTTCATTTCTCAAACAACCAAGTTAGAAGATGTACCTATGGCCATATTTCCCGGATGACAATGCCAGGATTCATCAGGCTCAAATTGTGAGAAATTGGCGACCACAGAGTCCTGACCTTAATGTCATTGAAAGTCTTTGGGATGACCTGGAGTTGACTTTACACTGCCTGCCCAAAAAAGAGTTGCACACTCTAATATTTAACTGGAGTGCCATTAGCTTTGATAAGATTGTGCTTTCATTGTGGCATTGTTTCAATAATGTTATGCAATGTCACAACTTTTATTTCCATCAAGAGCTGCATTAATCTTTGGCCAAGATCTTTTAATGACAATGGAAGAGGCAAAACATTCTGTAAAGTTGACTCCAGCAGACTTTCAATAGGGTTAAGCTCAGGACTTGATTGCTTGAAACGTGATCGCTCTCCTCACAAATCAACACTTTCTAGTCTCTTTGACTAGTACATCTTTGAGCCTATATTTAGTAAAATACTCAAGTACTGTTAAAATCAATTTTAGTCTCCAATTAGACTTTTACTCAGGTTGTTTTAGAATTGGTGACTTGTAACTTGTAGTGGAGTAATTTTTACTGTAAGGTAGATAATCTGTACCTTTACTCAAGTATGGTTTTCAGGTACACTTTACACCTCTGTACAGACACACATTTGCACACACAGAATCATACACACACAGAAATGTGTTGTCAGTGCATCTTTGACGATTTTATCAGTAAAATAGCTTAGCAACTGTAGAGGACATTTTATTTATATCTGAAATATTAATATTATTATTAGTATTATTTGCTTCACTGTACTAAAAAGTCTCTGAGTGCTTCAGTTTGCTTCAGTATGCTTGAGTTTTGGATGAACTGAGCGATAAAAGGTCATCTATATAATGTGTGTGACGAGAAATGCTATTTTATACCTAGCTTCTATTTTGTACCTAGCTTCTTTGAAAATAATTTGCATTAAATACTTAGAAACTCATCTACGGGACATAGTAGGATACCTTAAATGGACATATATGCTGAATATGCATTATGATTGGATGAGATCAAAGCATCCGTATCTTTTTGTCGGGTGCTGTTGCCATGGTGAATCATAATTTTGGAGCTCTATTGATCATGGCTTTTCTTAGTCGTGGTGCACGCGCTAAACTCAGTCAACCTACTTAGAGTTGACTGAACTAACTCAATTCAGCTCCGAAACTCCAGCCCCGAATGTTTTTTCAAAAGCCCCGAATCTTTTGGGTTGTTAATAGTTTTGTCAAAATATAGTTTTTCAACACATATTATACAGAAATATTCAATACCGCTTTCCCGCAGGATCGATAAAACTATACCTGCTGCGCTTTCTCTCTCTCTCTCTCTCCTCTCCGACAGCGAGCTCACGTCACACACACTGCAGTCCTACATAGCCACGC